ATTCATGTGAGGGATTGTTGCGTTTTTATTAAGGGGTGTGAATGGGAAATGGAAGAGGCACCTTTTAGATTGCACCTCTCCATATCACCCTTCCTTTGTCTATAAATTTAGAGGCTTGGCCTCATTTTTCAGACATGAAATCATATATGAAAAATCTGAAATCTTCTCCCCTCTTTTCTACATTGTTGCATTGTTTTCTAAACAAACATAAGTGTCAAGTGTGATTTGCTCCGTTTGTTGAGTTCGCTGAAGTTCTATGATTTGAAGTGCCGCTATCACAGAATAGTTATTCCGTTCTATCCTGGGAGGAATTAATCCGGATACCTTGGGCAACAGTGAGGGGATTAAATTCCTTAAGGACACATTGTGCATTCAGTGGGCTCGGAATTATTTCACGTTTTGTTTATTGAACTAACATTTGTTTACTTCTCCAATTTTCTGATTTTGAACACAGTATAATACCAACAATCAGGACAGTCCAGCTATACGTGCATGTATTCACACATATTCACGTCACGTATTCATGAATACAGTAACGACAATCACCTTAAAAAGAGGTCTGTCCAGCTGTCTAATAACGAAAATAATATCAATTAGCGTGATACACTCCTAATATAACTCAACATAATCAATAACATGCCTCATTATCAACCCAATTAATTAGAATGATTTTTCAGTTGTATATAACTGTTGTATCTAACTTTTGTATTTAGTATGTTCCAATATTTTCTTTTAGTATTGCATTCATTGGATTCAATGCTTGTATTTATTGTATTCGCGATTTTATATTCAATGTATTCAAATGTATTTGTATTAACAATATTTTAGTTATTCCTACAACATGTATTACTTCTGTATTCAGTATATTTCATTGGTTGTATTCACTGTTTTCTATCTGTATTCAGTATATTTCATTGGTTGTATTCACTATATTTTTATTTGTATTCAGTGTATTTTACTATATTTTAAAATTAAATATATTCACTGTTTATATTCTGTTCAATTTTAATGTTTGTATTCAGTGTATTTCAATGTTTATATCCTGTATTCAGCTGTATTAAAAAAATATAGACCTTCGAAATATATAAATACAGGCAAAAAAATGTATTTATACAAAAATATGTAATGTGTTTGAGTGAATTTGTACATAATACAATGTACTCGTATCATTGTATGTGACTAAATAGCAAAAAAGAGAAGAAATTAAGTTCGTCGGAGATGGCGTTTTCCGGCCAAGGAGAGAAGAAAGTTCTTCGGATCTGTACAGAATAAAGTATCCGTCGTTCATGTTACAGTACCCATGCTCTACTCGTATTATTCCGACACCTTGAAAATTCATCAGGATTTCTCTAATCATGAAAGCTGAATTCACTCGTTTAACCTATACCCTGGTACTCTGGAAGATCTCCAAATGTGATCATAGATAGACGGAGCACAGTGCAAAAGACTCCTTGTGTTGACTGTATTGCAATTAGTTGATTGCTCAGCATTATGCGTCTCTGTTAAAAGGTGAAGGCACAGTCTATCTTGAAATCATTTTCATGAAGCGGTTTATAGACGAGAAGACTCCAACTATTTGATCTAACAGCGAGCGACCGTTGTCTTCCTTCTCATCCACACCTTCAAATATTCAATTGCAGTAACCCTAGAGGATTCAGCCAGAGAATTCACGATTAGAAGCAGGTATTTTGCTCAAAGAGAGAGAAGAAAGAGAGAGAGAAAGAAAAAAAATTCTGAGAGAGAATCGTGTGTTAATTGAAAGAAAGAGAATGGAAAAGCATAAATAACGTAGTTCATGCCTCAATGATAGTATACCATAAATACCTATTTTTCTATAAAATATATAAGGTAGCTATAGAAAATAATATTTTAAAATAATTTTGGTTTATAATAAATAGGGTATATACCTTTGCTTTAGGAGGTAAATTTTTTCCACTTTTTATTAAACATAAAATAAACTAAATGTTGAGAGTTATTTTTACATAGCGTGAAGTGAAGCACTCATCATTTGTTACTGAGCTTATCTGCTGTGAAGCGGTCACATAAGCAACGAGACTACAGCGGCTAGTTCAAATTTAGTACTTCATAGGGGTTCTTTATTTTCTTTTGAACTGAGCGACAGTACATGCCAAGGGAAGTACTAATATCAAACACCACAAATTACGACCATATATTGCAACATTTACTATACATAGTTTAAATATGCCCAATACTGAAATTAATTATTTTTTCTCTTTTAATATTTTCTATTAAAATAATTCCAAGTACAAGGAAAGGTTTACAACAATGTAACAAGCTCTGTCTATGAGTGATATTATCTGTTTTGGTCTAGAACCGTAGAACTCATCACTATCGGGTTGAACTTTTATACATGGTTCGAGAGCCACTCCGCATGCTATCCGGGAATGGTGGCAAAACCTAGCTTTTAACTGATATTAGACAATATAAATTTCATACCTTTGATATGATGGTGGAACAAACTTCAGTCAGGATGTTAAATCCCCTAGGCACCTAGGCCTAGCCTACTACTATTGTTGTTTGTTTTAGGCCAGGTTAAAGCTCGCACGGTTTTAAGATACATAAGGTTTAAGACTTGCTTCTTTATATATTAAATATTTCTCCCATATTTTATCTACGTAAAATTTGCACGCGGTGTTACAATCAGGGCCGACTCTAATGGTGTAGCTAATAAGGCTTGTGCCTTTGTAACGACCCGGCTGATCGTTTTGAGCAATTGCGTCCGATTCGACAATTTGAGGTCACGAGTAGCTTCACACAGTGTGCCATGGCTTGCATGCATCATCGGTTCGGCATGAGTTTTGGAAGTTGGAAGATTTGATAATTCATAAGATCGGTTAGTGGTGCGATTCATATTTTTGACGTTGTTTGATGTGATTTGAGACCTCGAGCGGGTCTGTGTTAGGTTATGGAACCTGTTGGTATGTTCGAACAGGGTCCCGTGGGCCTCGGGCGTGTTTCGGATGGGCTACGGGCCATTTCTTCAGGTTATAGAGTTGCTGATTCTATCATCTGGTTTCCTTCATCGTGTTCGCGTCAGTGCCTCCCCATTCGCGTAGTGTAAGTTCGAGGCAGGCAATATTGTTCTTCGCGTTCGCGAAATGAAGCCCGCGATCGGGAAGTTTGGAAAACTTTGCCTCCGCGTTCGCATTCTCTCGTCCGCGACCGCATAATATTTTTCCTTGAGGCAGTGATAATTCACCTTACACGGTCGCATTCCTTTATCCGCGATCGTGTAGTGTTTTCTCTGGGCAGCTGTTGATTTCTTCTTCGTGATCGCATCCGTATTTCCGCGATCGTGAGGATTGTTACCTAGGCAGAATTTAAAAGTACTCTATTCCGACGATTAGCCATTTTTATCATATTTGGAGTTATAGAGCTCGATTTTGAGTGATTCTTCGTGGGATTTTCAAGAAAAATATTGGATTAAGTTTTCTTCACCCAAAATTTATTATATTCCATGGATCTATCTTTACTTTTATCTTATAATTAGTGTTTCGAGTTGAGAAAAATGGAAATTTTTGATAAAACCTTTCAAGATGTAAAAATGATGATTTGCGGGACGAATTGGTATCGGAATTTGATAATTTGGAATGGTTGAACTCGTATCAATGGGTATTCGTGTTTTGTAAAAATTTGTCGGGTTCCGAGGCGCGGGCCTGGGGGTTGACTTTTGGGTTGGCTCTTTAGTTTTTGTTAAAGATTGAAACTTTATTATCCGGAATTGTTTCCTATGAATTTTATTTATGATTCGAAGTTATTTTGGCTAGAGCGAGCCGTCCGAATGTTGTTTCACTAGAGTAGGTCATTTTAGAGTATCGGTCTAGCTTTTTTGAGGTAAGTGTATTGTCTAACTTTATGTGGAGGGGGGGGGGGGGAATTACCCATTAGGAATTGAGTTAATTGTGATATCCTGCTATGTGAAAATCGTGTACGCAAGGTGACGAGTGGGTACACGGTGTATATGTGGTAATTGACAGGTTTAGAGTGTCTAGTCTCTCTCTCCATGCCTTTAATTGAATTGTCATAACCTGTGATATTTCGTTGTTAGAATACTCTTACATGCGCTATGTGATGTTGTTAGCACTTATTGTGCGTCTTACTCGTTATTTGGCCCTTATATGCCTTAGTTAAAGTTATTGCCTTCCTTATTGTCTTGTTACCTCTTAATTGTTAAGTTTCTGCAATGACTCTATGCTTATCTGCTACATGTCGTAATTGTTGTGATTGCATCGTTAGTTATCGTGTGCCTTACCTGTTCTGTCATTTCTGTAAAGTTTTTTGTATTCTTTTGATTTTTACGTGGTTCCTTTGTTGCCGTGTACTCTTACCCTTGATTTTAGAGATTCTTGTAAATTGAGTTATAGAATTGTTGCTGTTGATTCAAATTATTGTACGGTGGGATCACTACAAAAAAATGGGTAAATTGCGGAGGTTAAAATTGCAGTTTGTGGAGGATAGTAACCTCCGCTATTTGCTGTCACGGCGGTTGAGCAAGCCCCCGCAGTATGCATCGCCGCTATTAATTTGCGGCAGACAAATGCGGGGGTTTCCTGAACCGCCGTGACAGCAAATAGCGGGGGTTCCTACCCTCCGCAAACTATAATTTTTACCTCCGCAATTTCATAAGCGAAAATAGATTTTATTTTTAAAATTTAATTATTGTTTTTGAGCGTAGGGGTTGTGAACCCCCGCAATCTGTAATTTCTTTTTGGGGGTTATATCCCCATCTATTTTTAAATATATTATAGAATTGATTTTTATCATCAATTTGCCATATTTTTCCTCTAATATCAATTAAAATATTTATGCTCAAACCAAAATATTAAAATTAAGAAACATCAACATTTCATTAACCGTGAAAAATACTATTACACAGTAGTATCATATGTCTTCAAACTAAATTAGAACATAGTTAACCATCTATATCAGTGATCAGCTATTACATTGTCCTAATACATCCACTTCAATTAAAATGAAACTCAATGGTTGTCACTGGGATTACTTCCGCCAGAAGATCTTCTTGCATCCGTCGGTGAAACGGGTCCACTAGCTGCATCACTTGGCTGCAGCAAAAAGTAAAAAAAAAACTATTACTATTAAGAGTATCAGGAAACAAGTCATTGGGATAAAATAAAATTATCTCAATGAGAAATAAAATACACTTTGCCACTTGGAGATATTACTTGAAGTTTCATTGAGTCTTCTTGTGCCAAAGACATTACTTATGAGAAATTTGTCATAGATCATACTGTGGAATTCTATTTTAGGATTCTATCATGTAACTACTCTATATTAAGATTCTATACAAGTTCTTTCTACTAGTGAAAGCTAACTCAAAGAGTTTAAGTTTTTTTCCAAATACAAACAGATAAAAAA